GCCCGCCCAGTGCCCAGCGAAGCCCACTTGACATGTCGCAGTACTGATGCTTCTGGCTGCATCTGACACTGGAGAGTTTGGCCAGTGCGCCTCTTCTCCCTCCTCCTCCTCCTCCTCCTCCTCGTCCTCCTCCTCCTCCTCCTTCTTCTCCTCCTCCTCCTCCTCCTACTCCTCCTCCTCCTCCTCCTCCTCCTCCTACCTCTGATCCCGTCATCTCGTCCATTGGGCCGCTCATCGTTATCATTCAGTCTGCGTTCTGAATCGCCAGAGCGCGTGCGTAAACGGAGGACCTTGAGCGCGATCCGACTTTTTTTGAGGAAGCGTTCAACGCATTGTAGGTCCATCAGTCAGAGCGTTTGTGTTGAACAATCCTGCCTAAAGCCGCCTCGCGTTGAGACGAGGTTGGGTACGTCGCTGGGTAATGTGCATTGCGATGGGGGTGGGGATGGGGGGTCGGCCAGGACCCCCTCGCGTTTTCACAGAAAACGAATGAAATTTTCGCCCATGATTGTGTCGCCTCTGAGGACCGTCGGGTCCCAAGTCCGGCAATAACTACTCTACATGAAAAGCTTGCAAACCTGTGGCCCACAATCTCAAAGATTCACGAAGCCGGGCGTCTGGCGGATGGGGCTGGTGGGCATAGGGGATGCCAAGCCACCCGTTGTCGCGCCCCGCGCCCCCCGATGCTCATCTCGGTGAAGAGCAGCTCTCTGGCCCAAGTCGCGACGGGCGATGCGTCGTGATTGTACTCTCCGCCCCCGCGGGTGACATAAGGGACGGGACCGCGAATGGGGACGGGGGGGACAAGGGAGTGAGACATCCCGCGGCGTGAGGAAGGCAAGGAGACAACGAACGCAGGGAAGCAAGAGGATGGAAAAGGCACGAGAAAATTAAGGTTTACCGTGCTAGGTCTTTAGAACCCCTCCAACGGTTGGGCAATACTTCTTTTCGGCAAGATTATTGACGGACTGGGGTCCCGCCAATCTCTCCGCGGCACCCGCCGCACAACGACGACGATGACGATTGCGACTACGACTGCGATTGCGACTACGAGTGTGACTACGATTACGATTACGACTACGACTACAAGCGAGCCTACGATTACGACTATAATCGAGACTGGAATCACGATTACAGCCACGACTACAATCGCAACCACTGGTCCGTAGAGCAGTCAGCATGGGAACATGCTCACACATCCTTTCGAGTGTAGGGTAGCCCGTAATGGATCACTCCCACTACTAGCAAGAGTACGTCACGATTACAACCACGACTAAACTCACGACTGCAATCACAACCACTGATTCCTATTGCGATCATCATGACACATATGCTCGCGCATCCTCTCGCGCGCAAGGTAGCCCAGCATGATTTCCCCTGGGAGAAAGAGCCCCTCAACACGATCCAGCCAGCCCAACAATAAAGGGAAAATGATACCCGCCGCGACGACGACGACGACGACGACGACGACTTCGATAACGACCACGAGGAGGACGAGGAGGACGAGGATGAGCAGGAGGAAGAGGAGGGGGGGAGGAGGAGGAGCCAGGCAAAGAGGAGGAGGACCAACGCTCAGACTGAAGGTGGGAGTTCGGCCGTCCTGGGCATCTTTCCGCATCCCCTTACGTGGGCTTTCACGGCAAACGACAGGACAACCGCTGAGACAGGCAGATGGCTCTCGTCCCGTGAAACGATCATGGCCGCACAAACCCGCACTCGGATTACCAATCTCGAGATCGGTGGGGGTCGTCTCAACTAGTTCGTTCGCTAGCTGGGCCAACGGGACCGGGGCTTTCAAAATGATGGGCGAATTCGCGCCCCCCTTGGGATGTCTACCCGCCATGGCTCTCTGCTTCTGTAACTTGCGACCATGGTTCGGGTGCCTACCAGGGCATGCACCTTGAATTCCGCGCGTGTCTTCGGTGAATGTTCCACGCTTCCAGCACAAGACCACACTCAGCGGAATGTTTTCATCAGCGTACCCGAAGAAATACGGCACGTGCCCTCGGGGACTATTCACCAAATCGCAGTGGCTCTGGTAAAACCTGGGCAGTCTTCTCGGGCACGGCGCTGCGTTGCGGCTCGGCTACCACAACGTTGTCGGCATGCAGCGCACAAGGAACTTTCCCCCAAGGGTGCCAATGATGCTTTCTGTTTGGTTCGTGATCTGAGTCGGGAGGAAGCCTCACAGGAGGAGGAGGAGGAGGAGGAGGAGGAGGGAAACTGCCCAATGACGGGCCTGCGCGGCAGCCGCCCACAGTTCAAACTGACAATTTGCTTCTCGAATGCTTTGGCACCTATCCTGGGGGCAACTGTAGGCCAGAGCTGTAGGGCCTCTGAAACATAACGAAGGTATTTAGCCAGGAGCTGGTTCTGCGCTTCCTGCTCTTGAAATTCATTCTGGCTCGGCTGGGCGGCTCTGACAGCTGCAAGTTTGGCATATGTATCTGCATCTTCGTCGCCTTTGGCACGCCTCCATTCATCACAACATGGTTGGAGCTCAGAGATGTTGGCATGCGCTTTAATCTTGTTTAAATGGGGCCTCAGGGGTGCTGGGCAAGCGCCGCGGACCTTAAAGGCACCATGAAAATCGGCCATCGAAAAAGTAGTTTTCTTGTGCACGTCGATGGCTCCCTGATAATCTACATACATTTGGGCGTGTGGGTCCGTGCTTAGACCTGCAGCAAGCACAGCACAGCGCTCAGCTGCAGGGGAGGAGGGGAGACGTTTACCCACACGCCCAATTAGGTAGGCAAAAAACGAGTCCATGGCCGTCTGTGGCCACCACAGACCATCCAACTACATTGTACGCGTTGTGGCCCCCTGGTTTCAAACAGGAACCGTCGGTGAAAATCTATCCAAACGAGGCCTCCGAAGGCTTAAGGCTGGGATCGCGGCACGAAAAATCAGCGTACTCGAAACCAAACCCCTCAGGAGCCCCCGTATCGAAATCAGGTTGGACCTGGTATCCATACGCTACCGCCTGATCGGTCAACCGTGAAATTTCATCTAACTCATCTTGCGAGAAGCGTTCGCGAAGGCTGGCACTGACAGGGCAATGGAGAAGACGGTGCTTTAAACATCATCCCTCTCGGAGCCGCACTGGCAGCGACCATCTACATCATAGTCTACCCTCTGCAGGCGAGAACTGGTCGATATGCTTTGGGTGAGAAAGCTCAGGAGGGTGAACCTGGCTTTCTTAGGTAGCGTGTCTCCTACCAGCAGCATTCTAGAGAGTCTCCTGAGGGTGTCCTAATTTCTGGGCTGCTTTCTGAAGGACGACCTGCTCCCAAGCCATCTGCATTTTCTGTGGTATCATTCGCGGTGTGCAGGTTGTAAGCGGGTCTTGGTGCCCATTCGCATCCTGCAGCTCCAAAACAGAAGCAACACTTCAGCCAATCCTGCGGAGAGATAGATAGGCAGCCCCAAACGGGCCTCTTTCAGCAGCCCAGTTGGCGGGAGGGGCGTGGAGGATGGGCTCAGCGAGGTTCTTCAGTTCAACGAATTCTCGAGGGTGACTAGGCCGGGTCGCCGCGCGCCACATCATCGTCGCCCAGGTCAGCACAGGTCCTAATCCTGCTCTCCACGTGGGGTCTCCTAGTACCGCCAGGCTCAAAAATCTACTCCGCGTTGCACACTGGGGCCCTGCCACTTTAAGGTACCCAATCTGTAGGTTTTGGTGCCCGTCCCATAGGTGAGGGCCTGCTGGAGTTCCGTCTTCCAGAGCTTCCGTATGTCCCCTCCCGCAATCTTGATGGCCCTGATGCGACATCGTCTGTTTTTGTGTCGAACGAATCGTCGGTATAGGGTGGCTTTGGCGAGACGTCGTTTTTTTCTCAATCGGTAGGCCCCTGCCGAACTGTCAACTCCCAAATTGGTGGCTGCATGAGCATCCGCTGGGCCCGCGTACTTCCCCAGGGCCTTTCGGATCTGTCCACGCAGGAGGAGGATGAGCAGCAGCACGAGGAGGAGGAGAGGCGAGCTTGCTCCCCGTCGGGGAAAACAGGGGGGGACCAAAACTAAAAATCTCCTGAGGTTATGGCGTGCTGGATACGAATCCAGACCAGCGGCGGCAAGCAGCCAGCAAACCGAGCTTGATAAACGGTGCCTCTCCGAAGACACATGTGCGGTTCGGAAACCCTGAACCTCCAACAAACGCTAACTTTTGGAGGCAGATGTTCTACTTCCGCCGGATTTCGCCGGCCTTCCGCTGGCAGAGGTGGTCTTGATTTACGTCTGCAGGCTTCCACTGGCCTTTCGCCGAACAAGAGATTCCAACTCCTAGATCCCTTGAAGTCGAAGCCTTCCTGGAGCACCCCGTCTAACAAGCCATCGCTACCTCTAAGATGCACAAGCCAGAAGGCGAGGACAACCTTCGGGATGCGCCCTCAGACACCAAGGGAGTCGTCAATACTGATATTGACATGAAGCGATGTCAACCATGGAATCATGGACAGAGCGATGCGTTCCGGGCAGGGAGCCCTATAGATGAAAGCCAAAGATTTCGCACTGGGCCTGCCAGACCCGCATCGCTTGGCCTTCTCGAGATGAGCGAGGCCGCGCGGGGTTATAGATGGGAAAACCAAAAGGCACCGACTCCACTACTCCCCGGATAAGACGAAGCCAAGACGAAGATAAAATCGGGTGTGGACAAATCGAACATCTTTGAGATCTGGCGGTTCTAGAATATGTAACGGGCGCCGCGGCCTTCTCAGAGCGTTCCGGAACGAACTGAGAGTGTTCCGGAACACTCTGAAACGGATGTATCATCGTCCTAGCCCCGTCCGACCGGACCTCTCCCAGGATGCGCTCTGATCAAAAATTCCTAGGCGAATCCAGCGATGGCGACTAAGTCCTTCGAGGAGGGCCCAAAAGGGCGCAAACGAGGCAAAGGTACCAGTGTGGGTACCTGTCCCTCCTCTGCACTGAAAGGACCAAGGTCGGTAGGGCTGATGGCTGCACTGGGGGTCCCCCGCCGCCAAAGACGCGCGCGGGGCAGCCTGGCAGCCCGTCGCGCCATCCTTCAGCTCCTTCACCTGGGGGTCCCGTGCCGGGCGAGGGCCGTTCGGCCCAGCGAGGGCGATCGGGCAGGCGCTGGAGCGGGACGGGAAGGAGACAGAAAGACGAGGAGGAGCACCACTTTGCTTTGGACGTGGGTTGAGGTCAAGCGCGAACCCCCAGGCAGCAACAGGATCGAGCGAGGGCCCGACAGAGGCGAACGAGCGAGGGCCAGAGGAGAGACACGACAGCAGGAGGAGCACCACCAGGAGTATGAGAACGGGGAGGGCGAGGCGGATGTGGAGGTCAGGGGAACAGCAAGGACAGATGCAATCATGAAAACGCAAAGGTCCGCGCGGATTCCTCAACCTTTAGATTAGATGGAAGACGGCTTTCTCCCGAAATGTGGGACCGCGCATAGATATGCAGACCGCGCGGGCATGGATCGGAAGTTGTGGCCGAGAACGAAGTAACCACAGCCGGGAAATCGGCTTCGGCTTCGGGTCAAGTCGTGAGGGAGATGCGGTCCCGCCATTGCCCCCCCGCGGATTATCCCGCGGTTCCCCGTGGTTGTCTCGTGGCTGTCCCGTGCGTGGTCCCAGGTTTTGCCAGCGTCTTCAACCTATAACGCTGGTGCTGGAAACAGCACTGGGATCAGTTCAAGGACGCAGGTGCGTGCGGCCGAGCCAGCACTCTTGACTGGACCGCTGAGACAATCGCGCTTACGCTGCTAAGTCGGTCGAGGGGTGAAGCGCCGACGGAGAGCGGCGGAAGCGAAGCGTCGACGGAGGGGAAACGATACGCAGCGAACGGCAGCATCGCCTTCCACCTCCTCACGATCCTCATCCTCCTCCTAACCATCACTATCACCATCACCATCACCATCACCATCATCAGCAGCAACATCATTATCGGCATCACCATCGTCATCAGCATCATCATCAGCACCATCATCATCACTATCACTATCATCATCATCATCATCATCATCATCATCATCATCATCATCATCATCATCATCATCATCATCAGTATCATCACCATCAGCATCAGCATCATCATCAGCAGCATCATCTTCTGCTCCCCACTTCCCGATGCCCTGACGTGGGAGAGCCCTCGTCGTGGGCCATCTTCCTCTCCCTATATATATATATATGTACAGATCGCAATGTTTAATAGGTGTATATATATATATATATGTTTCTATACATATACATTCAAACACATATGCATACATAATTGCATCCCTGCTCCCTCTCGATGTTTATGAGAAATGGATACATTTACAAACAAATGTGTAGATATGTATGGGTGCATAGCTGCTGCGCTGTCTCTATCTCTCTCGTTCTCCCTCCCCGCCCTTGCCTGCTCTAGCCCGTTGGCGGCGCAGAGGAGCGGGGCGAAGAGGCCGCGGGAGGAGGCACACAGATCGGCCCGAGTGGACCGCAAATCACGGCAAGCCATGACGCGGCGGAAGGGCAACATGATAAACAGGAGTGTTTCGCTTTGCCTGCCTGCCCGGATGTCATTCAACGGAGAGGGACGGAGAGACATTAACAGAGAGAAAGAGAGAGAGAAAGAGAGAGAGAAAGAGAGAGAGAGAGGGAAATAGATAGAGAGAGAGAGAGAGACGGGGAGTGAGAGAGAGTGAGACGGGGGAGAGAGAGAGAGAGAGAGAAAGGGAGAGGAGAGAGAGAGAGAGAGATGGAGAAACAAAAAGACATGGAGAAAAGTGAGATAGATAAATAAACATAGGGAGAGAGATATTGAGAGATAGACGAAGCGAAAACCACAACAACGACAGAAATACATAGACAGAGAGAGAGAGAACAACAAAACAAAAAACATACTCCATCTAACTTCACGCAGTGCGCCCCGCGATGCGCGGATATCTCCGTGCTCTCGCGAGGCCACCTTGGAGAAGGGCACCTCTCTGACCGAAGCCGCGGCGCGCGAAACCCAAGGATCTTTGCGCCCCGTGGGGGGTGACCCGGGCAGGATAGGTCCATGAGAAGAGAGCACGGGAGCGGGGCAGAGAGGGGGGGGCGACGAGAGGATATGTGAAGAGGCAGGAAGGGTGGATCGCGAAATGGACACGCAAGAAGCAACGGGGATATGCCGACCCCTGTTCTCGACTTCGGGGGGCTTCCGACTGGACCTCTCCCTCACAAGAAGACGCCGAGCTCGGGGCTATAAGACGGGAGGGCGTCCATCCTCCACCGGGATGCGTCCGAATAGGCCCCCCCGGGGGCGCATCCCCGAGTTTGTGTCTGGACAACCTGCGTTTTCCGTTGAAGCTCGGGGTTTGGGGGCGAGAAATCGCCTGCGAGAGACGAGTGGAAGCGAGGGACACTGTTGGTCGACTTTGAGAACAGAAACCCATGCTACAAGACATCTCATCATAGAATCACCTGTCTCTGCGAAACACAACCTCCCCCAACGCCTCTCACTGGGCGTGGGAACCGGTTCCAACCCTCCAGGTCCCCGCAGGTGTCGCTGCTTTTGCAGCGTCACCTTCCTGCTAGCAATCGGCGGCCTGCCGAACGCTCTCGAGCCAGCCTTGGCGCGGGTCTAACCGCGGCCAGGCTCAGCACCCTACTCGTCGAGCAGGCCTAGGTGCGGGGCTACCCGCAAACCAAAGGATTAGGCCGTCTTTCGCTGCTTCCTGCTACCACCAACCATGTCCCCGTAGTGACTCAAGTAGGGCCCGTCATGGTCGGTCTCGGCGCTGCTTGCTCAATCACTTCAATCCGCTTCCGCGTTGCCTACTGGCCCCCCAGGTTGCTCATGCTCGATGATAGCGCTGGCAAGCGCGACGTGGCTTCCACTCGCAGCATCTCGATGTCCTTGGCCTGCCGCTCGCTCAGGATCTCTCCCACGTCTATCAGCCTGAACACCAAGTCGTCCTTGGTCCCTCTCACTGGTGGGCAATCGGCCTTGAGCGCTGCTTGCGTGTCCACCACGCGAAACGTCATCAGCAACTTGCGCCTCGATCGTCTGTCCGACGCAGTGCGATTCGCTGTGCCGCGCGCGCCTGCTTCGCCTCCTGCCTTCGCCTCTTGCGTCCTCGGAGCGGGGATGCCCCCGCCCTCGTACTGGACCGGCTCCGAGAACATGCCTGCGACCCAACGCGGCCGCAAGGGCTGGGCCCTTCACGGTGGAGACAAAGTGTGCTTCTAGAAAAGAACGAAACAAGACGCTGTACAAGATGAGGTCGAAGCACAAGGCGGCGGCCGCAAGGTGGCGATAGCGGGGCGTGGGCCCGGAGGCCCGGGCGCCCAGCGCCCGCCCCCGCAAGAGCCGCGCCGGCGGCAGGAGGTGACTCCGCAGGGTCCGGCCTGCCAGCCGCTATGTCACTCGAACGTGTCCAGCTTGACTGGCGACTCCGACCCAGAGAGGCCCCGCCAGACGGACGCTATAGGGCCACGGGGGACCATGATTAGGACCACTGCATTAACCTTCCTCTCCCAATGGAACCATGCATTTCACCGGCCAGAGCCCACGGGCGCAGGGCCTGCGCGATGAACGCGAAATAGTGCCACTTCCGGCGGGGTCTCCCGCCAAAGGAAGGGGTCGAACTCAAGGGTCGTTCGTCCCCCCACGGCCGCTGTAAGTGACGTAGGGCGAAGAGTTTAGCATGGGAGGAGGGGCCCACTCCTCGGCGGCCACCCGCACTGCCTCAGGCAAGAAGAACCACGCGGACAGGCTCCCACCTCGGTGAAACACTTCAATGGAACTCGAAGGTCCGGGGATCTAGTCGAAGCGAGGGCGGGCGCATCATAAGCCTCTTGTACAACTTGTTTCGCGTCTCCTGCCACCGCGAGAGGTTTCCCCTGACGAGCAGCTCCGAGAACGCGTCGAAGAGCTTCTTGCCGCGGCAGCCGCAGAGACACCCCGGTGGGGACATCGCCACCAAGAGAACCACCACAATGACCTTCAGCAGGTACAAGAACCTCTCGTCGCCGAAGTTAGTCGGCGCGGGGCAAACGACCACCGAGCTTCCCCCGTCCTCGTTGGCCTTCACACGTAAAGCTTTTGCAGTCCGCGTCGCAGCTCATAAAACTGCCACTGCGCCCGAGCCCTGGAACCGCAGGTTGAGAGTCATGCAATTATTCTCGATATTCGGCCACTCGCTGCACTTTGTGAGAATGTCTGCCGTCATCTCGTCCGCGTGCTCCCTCAGTAGCTTGAAGGAGTGTAATCGTAGCCGTTCTTGAAGCCAAAGAAATCTCAACTCGAGGTGCCTGGCTGTGTCCACGCCCACTCGCTGACGCATGCCATGCCCGGCTGCGCTCGCTGCAGATCTCCAACTCGCAGGGCCTCCGTTCTCGATGAAGTAGTCCTTGCGCTGTAGGCCCCTAGCTGTAGCACTGCCAACCGCATACATCTCCGACTCCCCCGAACTCAGTGCAACTGGACTCTGGGCACCTGAATAGCAATCCCAGGTATCATCTCCTCATCGTGCTGCTCCACCACTTGTTGACCTTCGCTGTGGTTCTGAGGCCGGCGCCCAATCGCCGTCTCCATCACAGCGTAATCCACTGGGAGCATTCTGGATTGGGCGGCACCATGCCAACGCAGGCCCCCCCCCCCCCTAGCAGCACCGACCTAGGCGTTGCACCCTAGGGAGCATGAGAACGTTCTTGCTGGCGCACATCGTCGCCATGCTTGCGCGCATCGTGCCAGGCCTGTCGGAAGACAGCTGCAAGGCTGCACGAGCTGCTCTCGCCGCGTTCTTGGTGCGCTCCGTCGAAAAGAGGTCCATGCGGTCGCGCTTGCTGTGCCCCGTATCATGCGTTCCTGGCGCAAGCGCTGCCGTGCGGCCTCTTTTCTGGGTCCACAGCGCCAGGAAGTCCACGTGCTTCGAATCCGCTGTCCATAACAAACCAGGTTCCTCTGTCTTGGGCAACTTGTTCGTGTGGCCGATGATCTCCTTGAGGTATCGCGTCTCCTCAAGCTGTCCTGGCCCTGTCCTTCCACTGGCCGTGACCCCGAACTGCTGGGTCAAGAGTCCGCCCACATCGTCGAGCTGCCCGTC